AGGGCCAATCTTGGAAACCGTCGGAAGGCCACTGTGAGTTGGAATTGACTCGATGGCAGCAGGTTTTGTGGTTTTGCTTCTGCTTTTTCTAAGCCGTGTCTGGTACAGAGGTTTTCTTCAAAAAGAAACTGTAGCGGAGGGGCTAGGGAAGACCCGGATCAGACTCTGGCTGCCTTCTGCCGAAGCCATGGCAAGACACTAGCCCGAGCTCTTCTCTGGGTTCAAGGTCTAGCTCAGCCGATGGTTTCCAACTGCTGGCCTTTGGGGTAGCAGCCCAACACGTAACCCCTACGTCGCACGGACTCCTGTCTATCCCCAGTTACCTGTAAAAACTCAAGACTTTTAGAAGACCAACGGGGATTAAACGAAGAGATACTAATAACGAAAGGCGAAGGAAAGTAACGGCGCATGAAGGTCATCCATGATAAGACAAGACCATTGGAGAAGTAGAAATCAGTCGGCTGCGAGCAGACGCAACGGAGAGCTGGGTGGTCCCCAGTCTCCACGCCAGTCTCTCTCCTGCAATGGCCTTGACCAGACACTTTGTCTCTGGATGGACTCTGTGAGCCCAGCCGGCCTCGGCCATCACAGGCAGAGCAGAAGAGATGGTGTCTGTGGCGCAGATGGGAGGAGGGCCCCTGTGACTGTGAGGCGGGGAGGGCAGGAGGGTCAGGGCGCAGCTCCACGGGCAGATATGGGGACCCATGGAAACGAAATGGAAGCAGTACCCTAATTCATGGGCAGGCAGCTGCGCTCAGTGCATTTCCAAGTCAGAGCCCAGGTGAAAATGCCGTCCTGTTCAATTGCAGACCATGGGTTCGAGAGCAGTGTTAGGGATATTGAAATTAACCCTCTCACCTGCGGGGCTAGATGAACATGCACACACGGAACGGTTAGAAAGACAACTGAGCAGAGCGGGGTCTTTGGGGAGAGTTGTTCCTGCCTCTGAATTGAGATGGTCTCCTGAAGCATGTCGGTGGTCCCCCCCCCACCAGCCCACCCTTCCGAGCTTGGGCTTGAAGTGCAGAAAAGGACCTACAGGCAAAGGCGTCGCCAGAACCCTTTACACGAGCAGTCAGGGTATTTGCCCTGCGGGATGAGATTTGAAAGCCTAGCAACCGCACCATCGTAAGCTTCCGTGAGGGCTTCACTCAGCTGTCTTGTCCCAATCCCATGTAGGCAGCGATGTCTCACACCTGAAATGATCTTTAAAGCACTGGTTCTCAACCTTCCTTTCATACAATTTCATACAAAAATACAAATGCCGCGACCCTTTCATACAATTCTTCATGTGGTGGTGACCCCCAACCATCAAATTATTTTCGTTGCTACTTCATAACTGTCATTTTGCTACTGTTATGAATCAGATGACCCCTGTGAAGGGTTGCTCGAACCCCAAAGGGGTTGTGACCCACAGGTTGAGAACCGCTGTTCTAAAGAAATGTGGTTGTTATTGTTGGTAGGTGCCATGAATCTATTTCCCATTCACAGTAGGTGAGTTACAACAGCCCACCTTTGGACGACTGTGAGGATGACCTTTTGAGTAGCAGTCCAACATGTAAGCGCTGCGCTAATTGTGAGGAGGATGCAGGACGCAGGAGCTGTGTGTCGTTATGCTGTGCAGGGGGTCGCTGTTGGTCA